TGTAATCAATTAATAATCGATTACTTTCAACTTTTTATCCCTTCAAATATCAAGCAATATTTAAATGGTAAATGTTGATTTTATCTACTGAAGTTTGAATGTGTTCCTGCAGTTTCAGTGCAGATTCTTTTAAGGTTTTATTCTGGCTAACATAAGTAACATTCTCACTAAATGCCCAAATGAGGGATTCTCTCTACCATGGGAAGTGGAGATGTGATTCCTACAATAAAATATGCCAAGGAATTGATTATTCCTTTCAACCTTGGATCTGAACCAGTCCTCCATATTTATTGACTTGTTGCAAAAATTATTTGATATTTATTGTGATTTACTTCATTAGAAGTATTTTGGCTGCCTGTATGTTGACAGTACACATTAAACATTCCTGTACGTGTCTTTTTCCAAAAAAATAAGTAAATTAGATCTCTTAGTAATAAAAATGTAAATTAAATGTGTCTTTAAGTAATTTAACTAATAGCACATATTATTCTGTATTGAAATAAGTGTTTTGATAGCTATTTAAAATTGTTTAAAGATAGTTCACAGTTCACAACTCATTATCTGCAAATCAGGGATGTCTTGGTTAATTAATTAGCCAATCAAGATAAGCAAACACAGTGACACTTACTCCCTCTCTTACAGACACTTATAACCTCTCACTGATATGAAAGCAACCTTACAATTTTGATTGAAAACATGAGAATGATTTTGCAAATTTTAAAGTTACTAAAACACAAGTTTGAAGTTATTTAAACATTTTCAGATATGAATAAGTATTTCCATTTTTTTTTTTTTCAAGAAAATGTATTTTATTTACCAAATTATTTATATTTAATACAGCACTTAAATCTGTTTTTGCTATTTATAATTTTCTATTACAAGACCAATTTTTTTCAACATCTGAAATATGAAAAAGGACATGCAGCAAGAGGACAGTGGGTCAAATGTAAAATGCACACGAAAAATCTGTGTATTTTATTAATAATTTTGTTGAAATACACTTCTGAATTATTTAATACTAGACCAATAGGTCTATAATGCAAATTTTATTGAGAACATTTTTAAACTTATGGTTATAATAAAAGTTAGGAAATCCAAACATTACACTAGGTGGTTTATATTTGATATTTATGTGTGACTGAATGGAAATAATTCGCCAAAATAACATCCATTTATGTATAAAATAATCGAAAGTAACTGAAAAAGTAATCATAATTACATTGAATATTTTAGCTGTGATTGATTATATTACGATTACAAGTAATCGAAAATCTCTTCAATTACAGATTACTGTCGATTACTTGAAAAAAAGTAATGATTACAATCGATTACGATTACTCGATTACGATTACCCCATCCCTGATATATATATATATATATATACATATATATGCTGGTATGTAACATTGGAATATTGCTACATTACAAGAAAAGTGGAACAATTAATTAATGCCCTTTAGCACCACCTCTTGTTAATTCTTTCTGTTTTTCTTCATACATGTATATTTACCCATGTAAGCATTTATGTAATTTTAATTGCTTAACATTATCTTTATAAATATGGACATGATGGATGTGCCTGTATAATTTTGATTGCGTATACGGTAATTAATATGTTGTGACATAAATTGTCTCTCTTGCACATCTTGCTATCACAGAATGTGGTAACATATAACCATGCAGGGGCATGGTTTATTAAAATGCTAATTTTATTACAAGACATGATTAAAATGAAGCACCTTCCAGAATATGAAAATACTACACCCCCTGCTTATTCAGTTTACTTACTTTTTCTAATATCTTCTATTTTCTCCATATACCTTGTGACACTTGAACCTGTAAAACAAAAACAATACTTGAACTGTCATAATGAACTAATATCCACTTGAAAGACACATTATTTCTCCTTCTTTAAGATGTAAATGAAAGGCTTGGAAGCCTTGCTTATGTTAAAGTTTTACAGTCATGGTTGAAAATAAAATTATTCAGACATTTGATTTGATGACTAAAAATATGACTTCCTTCTCTTCAATTTATTTTTATCTTCCTGTCTCGGGTACCTTACATGTCAGTGTTTCTACAACAAATATACAGTATATGGCAATTCTTTCTTGAAAGCTAGTCAGCGCACCAACTTTCCTTCAAAAATATATATCTTACTTTTAGTAGCAGCTACAGGAAAACGTTTCATTGGTATTTTCTGACCCCCATCCCACCCCCACCCCCCTCCAAAAAAAAAAAAAAATCTGTAAAACATAATTTCTTGTAAGAAATCTACAAATTACTGCACATATGGCATAAAGTGTGGCATGGTGAGGAAACTTAAAATGTCAATGAAAAAAAATTCTTCCTCATGTTGAAAATGCATGGCTTCAAATCAAGAAATTTTTCTTGGCACACAGTTGCATTGAACAGTGGAGGAAATTTAGCATGCCAATTACACCTGTCCCGTCATGGGGTCTCAGTTTTTTTTAAAAGGTCTCATCCTAAACAAAAGACCCGAACTTTCACTTCAATAATGCCAAGCACTTGGGGGAAAAAAAAACAGTTACTACCAATCTTTTCTCACCTTAGGTGTGTTGCAGTCTGGTCCTGAACCACAAACCTTCTGACTACAGAGCAAGTGCTGTACTGACTGAGCTAATGTGCCAGTGTTGCATAATTTTGTATCTGAGTAATTTAATGTCTGGTCTGAATGCTAAAAATATTGGTTTCAGACTATAATAAACTTAAGGTTCTGGCCTATGTACCGGTAAATAGTTTGGTTCAGGCCATAATATCAGTTCCAGACATACACTTACCCCTTAAATGTTTAGTAATATAAATTAAAAAACATTTGTTATTATAATTAATATATATATATATATATATTTTTTTTTTAACAGTGATAATCAAAACTAATCTCATTAGAGCAGGATTTATACAATGTCAAGCAGGTCTATAATACTGTACATTTTAGATATCCCACATGCACATATACATACCTAACAGCAACAATTTAATTGCTAAGAAACATAGTGATATATGTTTTTTTAAACATATAGCAAAATAACAATTTGAAAGAATCCTTCTGATTCAACGTATTTGATAGGGCTGGGACGATATATTGAAATATCAAAAATATCAATTTTATGTGATGACAATATGCAAATTGACACATGTGTAGTAATATTAAAACAAGTACAGCAAAAAAAAAAGGACTTATTTTTTCTTTGTTTAACTTAAGATTTGGGTTAAAATTATAAAATAATATGGGTGAATATCACCCAAAAAATTATATTGGGATACATGCAATATTTAATGGCATATTGCGATAAATAATGTGGTTTATTGTATCACTGCTCCTTTCTCAAGAAGTTTTAGTTGACATGTCAGACATACATTTTATTCACTATACAATTATTAAGCCATAAAACCCTATCTTCCCTACGATCATTTATCATTTTGTTTAGTTTATGTATGATTAGAGATTTTAGTTGTCAACTCCTTAGGTAGTTCCCTGCTGAATGAAATCAAAGTCATTGTTATTTTCACTGGAGGCATGATTACATGTAACTTAGGCAAAGACATTACTCCAGCATGCTAGAGGTTCATAGCGAGATACTTTTGACTTGGCGCCGCGTAACCTCTAGCATCCATTGTAAAAATTCTTTCCAAGTGGAAATATATTGTTTAATTAAAAATTCAGGCTTTAAACATTAAAGAATGACACAAACAATAAAATATTCACTATTTGCGATTGAAACTTACACATAAAACAATGTTTATCTCTCATATTAGCGTTAAATCCATTATTTTTAAAATCAAGGCAGAAATTAAAACAAGTCATCTGTTTGAAATTCGGGAAAGGAAATAATGCAGAAAATCTGACGAAATGAAATTAGTTTTCCGCTATGACATAACTGAAATTTTTGTTTTCTGTCTAGCAATCCACAAAATTAACATGAAGTCAAATCGAAAGTAATTCTGGTGACAAATTGAAATATTGACAATTTTGATTAAGGAACAATGATGCATACTGAATAATGTGGATTTTAAGATTTCTTGTGACTCTTATACCTCATGCAAACATGTAGGTTCCTGAGAATTACTTATTTACAGTTTATTTCACACATAATATGTTCCACCCAAAATCTCAGGGGGAACGAGCTCGTTAGAAAATGGCCTTCGGATATAAGAGTATGAGGTATATAAGGAGCGTAGGGACGTTAACCGAGGCTCTTACTTGTAGGAGTAGCAATGACATTTGACAGTCCTGTCTTTATGAGCATAACAACTGATATAACACCAGAGAATTTAAGTTCATACGCATATCTTAGCTTTTCCTTTTATTGTTTTTAATGTTTAACTTAATACTCATAACTGAAGCAATCAAAAGATCAGAAAGTATATTATGCAACACTGGCCAGGGAACATTAAGGTATTCACATTCATATTATTCAGGTCCAGCACGATCTATTGATTCAGCTATATAGCTTGAATTAGCTGAGGAAATTCGGAAGTCCATTATTTACCAATAACAATTTCCTTTCTTTCAGACGTGTTAACAGCAATTTCAAGCAAAAATCTTAAACTTCTGCGTGATTTTTAAAAATAGATTCTGACCTGTGTCGATTGTATGCCTAATGTGGGCATATTTTGGGTTTTCTGGTGTTTTCTTTGAAAGTGGCTGAAATACAATAGAAAACAGTTTTTAGACATAAATACGGGCAAAATATATTCTGTTTTTATGCTCCTTCAACGCCAATTTTCCAAATACGAGAAAGAGTTTTTGGCAAAGAAGATTATAATACAAACATCAGCTTTCTTCGGCTTCGCTGTGCTGACGGCTGACATCTTGAAAATTGTTTGCTTCCGTCACCCCGCGAGATTGCTGTTTGAGCTTGCGTCAACAGGTTCGCGGGATCTTTAAATCCGGTGAATTGCAGTATGGGATTTGTTTACATTTTGGAGGTGTGACAAACTAGGCTGATCATTGGCCAAGATTGGGTGAAGAACTAGAATGATCATCAAGGGTAGAGCCTATACATTCTATTACATCATAGTAGATGCATATATGTCATGCGTCTATGAACGACGTGTTGATTTCCCAAATACATTGCATGAATATTGATGCAGATTTGAAAGGTTTGAGGTAAAACTTACAAATGTAAAATTTTTGTGTATATAGCTCTGTATAGGCCTAAATATTGTAATATATTTTACTTAAAATTGTCTTAAAGAATAACGGTATTTTTCAGATGCAGAACGTTAATGCAATTATTTTCACAGGGGGTTCTGTTGTTGTTTTTTAAAAGGGGGAGGGGTCTTTCAATTTTGTTAAATTAAAAAGTCTATTGCACAGAGCATGATAAAATGGTAACCTGGGTGAGTAGCTGTTATTCGATACAATCATGTAATTCTAAAATGAAAATTAATAATGTTAATGTTAACATTAAATTAAGTTTTAGCTTTTATATAGAAGTTTTAGAAGACTTTACAAGATATTTTATTTGTGTTCATGATCATAATAATTAACAAAGTATATGCTATTAGTAACATAATAATTATCAGTACGTAGGCCCTTATTGAAAGTTGAATGTATTCTTCTCCCTTTATATCCTGCATTTAGCCCTTTCACGATAACTGTGGTACTATCTTTTGCAGGGCAAATTAATAACGTTTGGCAAAGCTTTTGTTGACAGATAATTAAATGAAAATTGCTTTAACATCATACGGTACGGCAGCTACATGTATCAGGAAATGTACAGTCTTTTGTTTTCACCATTATAGCTTTGAGATGATGGTGGTGTCATCCAGGTGAAGCTGTTAATTAATTATTACCCAGCAGACTTTAATTAAGCAGTACATGATGTTTTCCCCTTTTCAGCATTTGAAATCTATTTATAAACTAATTCCATGGCATATGATGCTGTAGTTCAAATGAATCAACATAAAGAAATGCAATGCTTGAGTAAAAGATGTGAAACAATGAGAAAATCTCAACAGTTAGATTACATATACTCTTATATAAAGTGACCTGCCTATTTCTTTGAGAAATTCACTTTAAAATGTTAATGAAAAATTTTAGTTTTGAAATTGTAGGTGGTTATATATAGACCGGAGGTATGTGGGTGTACATAGCTGTTGGTGTGTGTATCTTGGCTGTTGTGTATGTAAATTATCCTATCCCTCCTCTTACCCCAGCCCTGACATCCTGGAAAAATGGAGGCAACTTCTTCAAATTCCGGACATTCAAAATCTTCTACAGGGGTTTGTCTTGATTTTTACATAGCAATATATAAAATAAATCATAACTTTACTGGTCACTACTGAGATTATACTCCTGAAACATTTTTAGGTTAATTGCTTAAACAAGGTTGTGTGCATTGGTATGATATCAAGGATGTAACAGTATTATAAATACTGTCTCTCTCTTTTTAGTAAAGGAAGACCTACAATTAATTGTTTGAAACAGATTACCTTAATGTTAACATGACATTTTTCTTTAGTAGGTCTGACAGAGACCAGGACAGAACACTGTTAGAGTTTATAAAACATGCAAATTAAATTATTGTTTTTTATTGTTTTCATTTCAGTGGAAAAAGGGAGTAATAAAGATGGCAGAGTGCTTCTGACAATCCATGGATTTCCTACATCCAGTCATGACTGGATCAAGGTTTGTCTGTCTGTCTGTGAGCTAAGGTAATAAATGTACTTCCATTACATGACAATCCATGGATTATCTACATCCAGTCATGACTGGATCAAGATTTGTCTGTCACTTTAACTATTATATCAGTATGATATATCACATGGATTTCATACGTACAGTCACACCTTGATCAAGGTTTGTCTGTCAATTTAATTAACTATTACATCAGTGTGACATCACATGGATTTCCTACTTACATTCCCAACTGGATTAAGGTTGGTCTTTGTCATTAAATAAGGTACATGTAAATTACATGTAATGATACATTTTGTACATTCATGTTTTTCCATAACATATGACAATCCATGGATTTCTTACATTCATATCAAAAATATCCATATCATTACAAAACTATATGATACATATCCTGAAGGAGGCATATTATTTCACTCCGAATATAACATAACATCCATTGACTATTCGTTACTGTCTAACGTTTGTTGATGTGTACACATGTCTATAAAATTAAAATAAGACCAGTTATTCTCCTGCTTTACAATATCCTGCTACAATATTGTAGAGAAGCTGAATTACAATTCAATCACAATTCTTTTTCAATATTTAAATGTACAAGAAGAGTTTTTACATTTTGCAGGTGCTTCCAGACTTAAAGAAACAACACAGTGAAGTGATTCTGTTTGATATGATTGGATTTGGACTCAGTGATAAACCGGTAAAGTCTACCTATAGAAAAATTACCAATAGGTGAAAAAAATGTCATTTTACATAGCTAGGAGTAATATAGTAAAGTAAGATGATTGATTTGGTTTCTGATTATAGATACATATTAGTCTAGACCATAATTACAAAGAATACTTGTACATGTACAGAACCTTGGATTTACTACTGCTTGTAAGGCGGGTGACATTCGCCTCTCTATACTATTTGTCCACACTTCCCATGCAACAGAACTACTTAATGAAATGTGTGTCCAATCCTTCTGACACACAGTCAAGTTGAACAAAATATGATAAAAGCCATCAAAACAGCATCCAGTGATCCTCAATAAATAGTGGTGCTGGAAAAATAACTTTTCAGAAAAAGAACAAACTAGTAAACAAAGTTCATGCCTGTGCGTTTTTTGTTGGTATGTACTCAGTTTTCTTTATTTTGCAGTCAGATCATGACTACTCTATCATGGAACAAGCTGATATTGCAGAGGCTTTACTGAAAAAGCTGAAAATAACACAGATTCATCTTTTGTCACATGACTATGGGGACACAGTGGCCTTGGAGTTGCTAGCAAGGTCCTATTTATTTCTAAATTTGCTATCATAAAAGCTTTTGTGATCATCTATTTTTAGGTCACCTGAGTCACTCAGGTGACCTATTGCTATCCGTTCTTGTCCGTCAGCGTGCGTCGTGCATTAACATTTGAACATTTTTAGCTTCTTCTCTGAAACCGCTTAACCAATTTCAACCAAATTTGGCATATAGCATCTATGGGTGAAGGGGAACAAACATTTTGAATTTCATGGTCCCTGCCCCCCTGGGGCCTGAGGGGTGGGGCTAAAACCACCAAAAATAATGCAATCTTTAAAAATCTTCTTCTTTACTCCTGGACATCAAGCAGTCAAACTGTTGGCATGATTGTAATAAGCATTGAGCCCTCTACCAAAATTGTGAAATTCATGGCCCCAGGGTCAGGGGTTCTGGCCCCAGGGTGGGGCTATATAGATCATATAGTGAAAGTGCATTATTTCTTTGAAAATCTTCTTCTCTGCTCCTGGGTATTAAATAAAGTAACTAAGTACATAGTTATGAAGAGCAAGAGTGCCTCTTCCAAAATTGTGAAATTCATGGCCCAAGGGTCAGGGGTTCTGGTGTTAGGACGGGGCTCTATTGATTATATAGTGAAAATGCATTAATTCTTTGAAAATCTTCTTCTCTGCTCCTGGATATTTAATAAAGTAACTAAGTACATAGTTGTGATGAGCAAGAGTACCTCTTCCAAAATTGTGAATTTCATGGCCCCAGGGTCAGGGGTTCTGGTGTTAGGACGGGGCTCTATTGATTATATAGTGAAAATGCATTGATTCTTTGAAAATCTTCTTGTCTGCTACTGGAGATTATTTAAACAAACTAAGTGCATGATTATGATAGGCAAGGATGCCTCTTCCAAAATTTTTAAACATATGGCCTCAGTTTTTGGGGTTCTTGAGGAAGGGGGGGGGGGGGGGGCTCTATTGATTATGTAGTGAAAAGCATTAATTCTATTAATTAATCATTAATTAATCCTGTCTGCTCCTTAGTGTTGAGCTGATAAATAAATTGCCTAGCTATGATGAAAATGGGAGCTTTGAACAGAATTTTTAAATCTTGTGGTCCTAGGGTCAGGGGTTCTGGCATAACGAGAAGGGGGGGGGGGGCTTTTGATAATATAGTGGAAAAGTGTTAATTCTTTGAAGTCCATAGTTATGATGATGCGGGTAACTCTTCCAAATTTGTAAATTTCTTGACCCTTGGTCATGGGTTCTGGTGTTAGGGTAAGGCTTTGTTGAATCTGTAGTGAAAATGCATTGTACCTGTGAAATTCTTCTCTGCTTCTAGGCATATCAGAAGCAAACTGAGTAATAGTTTAAATGATATAAGTAAGCTTATTTCTACCAGATTTTTGAACATCTGGACCATTTGTCTAAGCATTCTGGTCCTGGGCAGGGCTCTATTAATTTGTATTCTATTGAGAGAAGTTATCCCCCCCTTTCCATTCACCTTTGATAATTAATCACTGTAAATAATGTATTTGAAAGGTTAATAGAATAAGATAATTATGCAAGAATGTTTATCGTATAATTCAAAAAGTACTTTCTTAGTTTTAATAATCAGGTAGACCTGTAAGTAATAGATAAATAAAAATGAGACAAAAATAACTTATCTTATTAAAAGTTCCTCAAAGACCATAAGAGAGGTCAATGCTAGAGGTCTTACTAATAGTTTTTTAATAGTCTGCATGGTGATAGTGTTAAGTGGGGGACAGATTAGAACTTAATTTATGACTTGATACTGAATACTAGACTAATTATTTTGTTGATCCTGATCTTCCTACTTCTCTTGCTTTAGGGCAACAAAGCTTCATCTATCAGTGTATTTAACTTCTAAATTGTTGTATTATACTCAGGTGACCGATAAGGCCCTTGGGCCTCTTGTTATTTTTAATGAGGATTATTCATTATTAATGTTTCTAAGATACAAAATAAATCAGAGAAAAGTAAAAGTAATTACTTACATGTAATGACTTAATTTAATGTTCCTTCTTTGCAGATTTAATATGAAAAAGACTGATTTGAAAGTTCTCTCCCTTTGTTTAAGTAATGGAGGTAAGATTGAAGGTTAAAGATGAATTGTCAAAAATTAAATGGTAATTTACTTCTATATTTCAAGATAATGTTTGTGCACATTCATTTGTCTTTTTTCTCAAAAGAAAAAGATTTTAAAACTACAAGGGGTAATCAAAAAGTTCGCAAATTAATTGAATTGCTTCCTTAAAAGAAATAAAATGAGGTTTCAGTGTTCATTATTTTTTAAAGTAGTCCTCTCCGATTTTAATGCACATCTGCCATTGTTCTGCCCATGTACGAATCACGTGATCCAGGCGGTCACATGACATTCTCCCTAGTGGTCTGTTCACAGAAGCTAAAAGTTTTTTCCGAGTCTTATATTTCTTACCATGCAAGTTATTCTTTATAACAAGAACAGAACATCTGTCAGAAATGGCCAAATCTCGGCAACAGGATGGGTGGATATGGATATCCTTTCCCAGAATTAGCATGGTGACCATCACAACGTGAGTCCTCTGTCTTGGGAGCATCATTTATCCAATGTGGAAAAAGTATAGGCGCCTTCTTTTTTCCCTGTCTCATATGTTTAAAGTCTAAAGTAAACAATATCTTAGGGATTTAATAATTATATTATTGTTCAGATATTTCACTATTTTTCTAATTGTAACTTGGCGATCTTTCAAAACAAGTTACTCAACTAAGGACACATCTTTTTACTGGCTTGCTTTCATTGGGCAACAGAACAAACATCATTTCTAACCATCTTCCTGCCTTCACTAAAACAATCAATCCAGTCAATGATTGAACTTCTGGTAAGTCTTTTGTCTTCATAAACCTTGTAAAAATTATCATATTCTACTGCAAAGAAAATTCCGAGATATACATTAAACTTTACAGCCTTTCGTTGCTCGAGTACGACTGAGTCAACCATTTTTTGTCACAAGTCACCTACATATTGAGGTCAATTTCACATTGTGACGTCACAAAAATGAAGCAAAACATTATATAACATCTGCTATTTTTAGAACATGTGAATGACTACCGTAAATCTGGAAATTTTTATGTCAATTTATTTTTGTGAATCTGGGTCAAAAAGCTGTTGATTAATTTTTACGTTTCAAAATTTTGCGAATTGCCATTGGTGTTCAATTGAAAAGTGCTTAAAATTTTCAAAACAGTCTATATGTAATGCAGGTACATACAATAAATCACGCATGTACTCGTACGTATACAATAATAAGCGATGCCAACGTTTAATAATCAGATTATAAATTACGCATATATCCATACAATAAATTACGCATGTACATACAATATTAAACGATTGCAACGTTCAATAATCAGATAAAAGTATTAAAAGCAATAAAACATCTAAACTGTTTAAAGTTGTCATAACATTTTATTAAATCACGCATGTACATAAAACGATGTCAGCTTTAACTAACCTTCAAATAAAAACATTCTCTACCGGGTATAAGAAGAGAAAAACGTCTAATTAATATTGAATTATGTAATATATATAAAAGTGGCCTCTCTTTCTTGGAGAAATAATTTAAAAGATACCAGCAAACTTTTTGTTTACATTTATTGTTGTTGATTTATTTTTAAGAAAAATATTTTTGCGAATGCAATGCACACACAAATTTGCTAAAAATTTATCTACAGTAAAAATTTCCAGATTTACGGTATATGTGTGCCAAATTTCATTCTGATCTGAATTGTGGTTTAGTAAATATAGAGATTAGTTTGCGAACTTTTTGATCAGCCCTCATATGTGTTTAAATTTGTAAGACCACATAGTTTTATTTAATATTTAAATTACATTGTAATTCAAATTTTAGGCGTTTTCCCAGAAACAAATTTTCCAAGACCTTTACAAAAAGTGAGTTTTTTTTACAGTAAAAAATATGTAATCAGCTGCAGAATTGTACATGTAGTGAATATGATTCAATTAAATTCCCCATTAAACAGGTACATGTGTATCTGATTATGTAAAGAACATGAAAAAATGGGTTAAATGTTAAATGATCAAGTGATAGAAAATTGTTTTAGTTTTGTATTCTTGTGGAGTTTTCTGTACCATTTTATTCATGTGCTCTTGTCCTTTTAAATCTATAAAAAAGATTTTCTTATTTTTACTTAGTACATATAAATGTAGTTTTATTTCATTTCAGTTGCTAACAGTTCCTTACCTTGGGGCTATCTTAAGTAGACTGTCCTTCTATGGAATTTTCAGAAAAGGGTAAAATATATTGTTTAAAGCTCAAGTAAACTTTCCTGATCAAAGCTTGACTGTTACCTTATCTGTAAACATTTATGACTTCTCTTGAGCCATTGAACTAATTTCACCCAGTATGTGGCAACTACTCATAGGCTGGGGGTCCACAAGAAGGGAATAAAGTTTTATCCAGAAATACATGTAGGAACAAGTCCATGGTACTGAAAAAATGCAACATCAATAGTTTCTAACCCCATATTCTTGAAAGCATATAAATTAACGAGGTTCACTCCTGAGCTTTTGAGCAGATTTCTATCTTAACCTATATTTCAAAAATTCTGCATATTAATGTTTTAATTCTTGCAATAATTTTGGATTCTACAAGGCCAATTCAACTATATTCAGTTAAAACTCCATGATTAAATCCATACCAAAAGCATTACCTGAGGAACTATATTTTGTGGCGGAAGGTTTTTTTTTAGAAGAAAATGATCATTTTTTCTCTTTATAAGTATTTAAAGCATGATAAGTTTGGATTCCTATTTTTACATGCAGTCTGCACACAGAGTTATTTTGTGCAGTGAACTGTTTTATACTGGTCCTAAATTATATATTAAATAAACTGCCATGAATTCTATCAGAATATTTGATAAATATAGCAAATATATTGTGAAAATCAAGAAAAAAAAATAGTCCTAATTTAAGCTTAAAATTGGCACTGTTTTAGTAATATCTAAAAATTAACATCACAGACCCCCACTTTTAATTTACCTTCCGAATATATAAGATACTTTTAACCATTCTTCTTAAATTCAGTAAAATGTCATTACTTTCAAATGAATATTTTGCTTGTTAAATTTTTAATGCCAGAAAAATGAATTTTTTGAGTGCAAAAAGGTTGAACATGCGGAATAATTTGAAAAAATTTTTCGCTGTCATAAATTTTAATGTGTCTATTCAAGATGAAAAAAGACGGTGTTTGTTCCCATAATTTGTTTGAATTAAATAAATTTATTGGAGGAAAAACTTTAAGAATTTAATTATGTGTAAGACGTTTTTACAGTGCAAAAAGGTCAAACTAAATGCTCTGTAGCGCCAAAAGAAGTGCATTGACCTCCATTTTTTGTTTTGATTTTTAATTCAACTATGTGTATAAATTCTAAAAATATACTTGATAAAAAATTCTCATTACTTTTGATGGCAGGATCCAACCTCCTTAAGCTGATCATTACAATATGGGTCTCAGTTTTTTTTTTTATATATATCACACTTGCAAGCAATTTTAAATCTGCTCAGACACCATCGCCGCAAACCACGGCCAAAATGTACGACCCTCTCCCATTCTGGCCGTTGTTGAATGAGAAGAGAATACATGTATTTTGTAGCTCATTAAAATATTGACCAATGTGAGTAAAGCATAGTCGGATAATGAACTTTGATGCGACCTTTCAATACCCAATCACAGTATACGAAACATTTCTTGTATACTGTTGATGTCAATTGTTGATTTCAATTGCGATGGAAACAAATCTGTCATTGGCTGAACATGACGTCACAATATAGAGGCATAAATATTCAAGAATACGACTCTTTTTGTGATCAAGCAGCCACAGGTAGGAGAGAGCTATATGCGGACTCCGGACCGTGGTTTGAGACGATGCTCAGACACAGGGTGTGTTAAAAGGGAGATAACTTTGTCTGTGCTCAATTTACCCCATGTTGAATTCATCCACTAACAACAAGGGGAGAGAGGGGAAAGAGGCATAAAAGTAAATATGAATTGAAATTAATTAGGGCCCCACAAGGATATGCGGGTGCCCTATAGTAATCACTCTGTCTGTCTGTCTGTCTGTCTGTCCGTCTGTCATTCTTCCGTCCACAAATTTTCTGTTTTTTTCTAATAACTTTTTTTAGGGTTGACCAATTAAGTTCAAATTTGGTATGTTGGTTGAATGGCAGTAAGACATATTTTGATGCTAAGTTTGGTTTTCTATGTCATCCGGTTTGGAGCTGGGGTGGTGGGGTGTATTCCTTAACTCTATATAAGAGTGAATGGGCAAAGAGAGATAACTGCTGAGAATGTTCCTATTGTAAACTATGAAAGGCTGCAATGAGTCTCTTGGGATTAATTAACTTTCCTCTTGAAGAAAATCCAAAGCATTTATCTTTATCTGCCACATTGAGATTAATTAACACCTCTGTCTGCAAATGAAGTTTGTTTTGAAGTTAAGGTCAATTCTGAATGATGTTTACATTCTCTGAAATGTGGATTTAAATAATGTTCATATTTTATTTTGGTAAAATTAACAATGAGTTATGATTTCATTGAATTCTAAAAACAAGATATAGATAAAGATAACATTTTTATTATTATTTTCTTTTTTCTTTTTTTTTTCTTTTTTTCTGCCTTATGTAAATTCAAGAATTCTAATTATTTTAACAGGTATCCAGATAATAACCTCATTCTATCATTGCTGAAAAAGTTCTTATTGTAAGAAGAAAAGGTTGAGAGAGCAGTATAATTAATCCCATGGGTTTGATTATCTTGCTGGTTTGCAGAATATTTTAGAGGGTTATCTTTCTGTCACTTTAAGATTAATTAACACGTTTGTCTGCAACTGATATTTGTTTTGGAGTTAAGGTCAAGCCTGGGTGATATTTGCATTCACTGAAGGCTGGCATTTTAGAAAACACATGCTTCATTCTTCTTTAAATATACATTTAATTGAGTTATTATAGATATGATGTTTTTTACTGCCTTATGTAAATACAAGGATACTATTTACAGATTGTTGGATATTTAGCAGTTGCTGTTGCTTATTCTTTATATATTTTGAAATTTTTTGGAATCAAGTAAAATTCTCATCCCCTAATCTGCACCCTTATATTTCTAACCCTCGGCTGGGCCCTTGCTGACAGGTCAGATTTCTAGTTTCCTTTAAATAGCATAAATTCATTTGTCAAAAAATTGAAAGGTGACTTAATAGATGAGCTTTGTATCTTATTGAATTGTTTTACATGTACAGTCATGTTATCTGAAACTTGATGGAACTTTGAGATATATAAGGGTTAGAGATATTGAGGGTAAAATACATGTACGTAAGGAAAAAGTGCTTCGGAATTCAAAATCACTTTGACAAATCCATGGTATTCAAGGTATCCGTGTTTGAGATATGAAGTTCAGCTGTATATTACTTGTACATGGAATTTGGCCACTCCTTTTTGAAGATCAGCTTATAGAAGTTGCCTTTACACACCATGTATCACTAGGCCCTAGGATCATGAAGCAGTTTTTGATAAAGGCCAGAGTTTATACACTGGCTAAAAGTTTTCTGAATATTTATATATAAAACACATAGAATTTGAAATGCCATTAAAATTTCTTTCCTTTTCATGTTCTTAATTTTAATATTCAAGTGGTCATAGTACATACTGTATACAGTTGAACTTCAGTACCTTGAACATTGATATCACAAATATGATGGATATGTCTAAGTGAATTGGAATTCCAAACTATTTTTCTTTATCTAGAGTCTTTGGATATGGCAAAGGTTTTTTTTTCTCTGCCCCAGTTTTGGATAAAGAGGTTTGACTGTATTCATTTTATGAATGACTGAAATTTTAAGACTGCTTATTACATGCATCTCGGGGTCGAGTATTTGGTTGTTATGAGAGGGAGAAATGAGAGAACATTTTATAATTTTGTTGATATAACATTGCATTCTGTCAAGATTCTTCTTCAAGAAGATGGCTTTTGTAGGTTTGGAGAGGTATTTGGAGTCAATACACAACCCACAGAATCTGAGTTCAGAGATTTTTATGCAGCTATTGCTAATAACCATGGTTACAGAATAAATTATAAGTAAGTATTTTCCTACTTTCATTTTTTTCTCAATGAAAGATTTCTTGGTGATTTTTTTCCTTCCTTATCCCTGTGAAATAAAAAAGCTGTTTTTATTTATGTTTTCTATACAGACTTTTAGGATACATTGCAGAGAGAAGCCAACACAAAAACAGATGGGTAGGAGGTCTACAGGAAGCAACTATTCCTGGTAAAAGCAGTTGTTTTTAATGAATTGTTCAATATGAAAAAATAACATTGACTACCGTATAAATATCTAATACATGTACCTGTAAGTTTAGAGTTATTTCCCTTTAAATAAAATATTGGTAAGAAGAAAAGATAGAAATGAGGTAAAACTCATTAAAACAGGCAATACATGTATTTCATAAATTATATGCGTTTGCCTTGATCTATGCTTTGTAAAATATACACTACAAAACACAGACAGCTTTGGACATACATAGTAATAACTGATGAAAATCAATTTTTATGTATGGCAGCAGTTCTATAATGTTATGTTTTAGTATATATCATCTTTCAGTCCATATGATTTATGGTCCTTCAGATCCAGTAAATCCCCCTGTTTTTATTGACCACTACAAGTAAGTAATTAGTATCTTTCCTTCTCTCAGATTACTTTTGATGTTCATGTAATTTCACCTAAACTGGCTTAGTGTTTCTGATACACTTCATTCCTTACAAACCCTTGGCCTATCATGCTATCAAAAGTCAGCATTTTTTTTCCGAAAGGGTTTGATTGGGCTTTCTTGCTGCAGTTCAACTCAGCAGAATATTAATGTTTTGCAAAGTTGAAGTCATTGGCAATATATCCCTACAGGATGTTTTTGACATAACAGTAAAACTCAGTTATAGCAAAGTCCTGGAGATTTACAAATTCGTAATATACATATTTTCCTTCAGTATGTTCCGGGAAGTATTAAATACCGTATATAACATATAACATATAAAATATGTTATTTCAACTCTATGGGAATCAAAGTTAAAGATTACTATATCTGCAAATTCGTTATATCGGAGTTCATTTTAACTGTACATTTTTACAAATAATTATTAAGAATTTTGCCAGAAATCAGGAAAAACTTCGCCATATCTGTAAATCTGCTATATCAGTGTTTTTACTAAACAAGTTTTACTGTATGCTTAAGGGGATTTCTATACGCATATAAAAAATGATCCATAAGATAACTGGATGGGTGATTCTATTAATAACAGTGGCATCGTTTAACTTGTTTTACTGATGTATAGTTTTAACTAAGTCAATCCTTCATTGGTGAATATCCTGTTAATAGACTTTTAAATTAGTTCTCAGAGTTCAGTATGGAAACTGTCTTTTACTTATTTTTGTAACATAACCTACATTTATGTGCATGACAATGAAGGTAAGATTTGAGATCATGTAATATAAACTATCCCAACTATTGAAAGCTTGATAGGCCAAGGGTTTGTAAGGAGTTGAATAGATTAGAGACACTTGGCTAGTGAAGATGATGTAAGTTAATGAGTCAGTGAAACTTAAATTGTCATGGTGGTCCAGAAAATTTTGAAGTTCCTTTAGAATGACCATGGTTCTTCAAGAACTTTTCTGCATGAACGGTAACACCAAGCTCGTTATGCTATTGATTAATATGAAGACTGTTTCTCCATCATAGTTGAAGAATATGACTTATCACATTTATTGTTATATATTAATTTAGTATGTGTATTAGGGCTGAAACTGACTTTCATTCTCCTAACTTCCCTTGTAGGAAGACTGTCTCCAGACACAGTATTACAGTGCTGCCCTCTGACATCTCACACTACCCCCAGTGGGAGGCACCAGAGCAGTTTGCTAAGGCATACAGGGAATTCCATCAAAGACTGTCAGGAAAGGGAAAATGAAACTAGGCAATATAAATATAGAAGGTTTTATTATTTCACAAAAATCAACAAAAATACATGATAAGATGATAAAAAAATGTTAATTATTGTGTTTGTATGTAATTCATAAAGGACTCACTGACAGACAGGGTTTGCTTGTATATTGTTACATGTATGAATCAGCAATACATACCAAGCTCCTGTAAAGAAGGACAACTCTTTGCTCTCTATTTTCTCCATAATGATAATTTTTGTAAACAAAATAGAGATACATGTAAAATTATAATTAAAGTAAGTTTATTGTAGTACATTGTAATTTTAGAAAAACCATTGTAGTACACGTAAATGAAAATTTAACAAAGAGGATGCACATGTATTAATGATAAATCAATTAAGCTTTCAGAGCTATATTTCCCAACAGAGTGCCATTCCTCCATTAATAGTTTTGATAAATATGTATGAGATGTCATGGTGTTTGCTTTTTAGCTCTCCTGAGCAAAATGTTCAACCTGGTGAGCTATTCTGATCAAAATTTGTCTGTTCTCAGTTTTGGTTTTATTGTCCACATAAAAATTCACATTTTTATCTTTTTCTCCAGAACCACCAGCCCAAGTTCAATCAAACTTGGCATAAAGTAGCTCTGGGTGATTGTTCAAATGAAAAGCTAATTCCTTTTCCTATCAAATCACATGTACATGTTTATACTGACATTCTTGAGTGGGTCAAATTTTGTTCAAATCATGGACACGGAGGTTAGGTTGGGGTTGAAATTGGGAACCAAATTTTGAATGTATTTTTCCAGAACAGTAGGACCATGCAATTCATTGATATTGAAGCCTCCCAGTGTTTTGTGGATTCAAGTCTGGTTAAATCATAACAATATGGGCTAGACTGTGGTCAAATATCTTTAAAAAAAAATCTGCTGCTGAAGAAAAGCAGGACCAAGGTGACTCAGGTGGGCATTGTGGCCCGTAAACCTTTTTCAAAAATTGATTTAAATAAACCAACTTTTTAACAGCTTGATCTTTGACATACAAATGTACAAGGGTTATCAGAAAGTTCATGGACTATCGACATAAACTGAAAACCACTTGAGATACATCAATGAATTTTTACTCATTTTGTTAGCATCATTTTTTCTATGTATACAATAAGCTATTAATCATATTAAGATTTTATTATGCCCCGCTTTGAAGAAGATTGATCCACCAACAGTTTCCATTCATTTTCTTCGCAGAGGTTGCACATACTGAAATGAAATTTGGTATACAGATTTATCATAAGAACATCTAGGTCAGATTCTGTTTTGGGTACGATCGAGCAATTTTTGACAGAGTTATGCCCCTTGGACTTAGAAAAATTCCAATTATTTGCTTTCCGTTCATTATCTCTGCAAAGGTTAAACAAATTAATTACTTATATATCATGAGAAACATGTTTTTACCAACGATGTGATGTAAAAGACTATTTCTGGTTGATGCATCTCAGATAGTACTGGTAGATTAACCCTTTTGATTTTAAGTTCAAAAGGTCAATTTCATTTCAATGTACACTGCCCATAATGTATGTATACTGCCCATAATAAAGGCTTGTGCACCCTATAATATATATGTCCAGGGAGGAGGGGACATAAGTGTTTCACAAACTTCTCTCTTTTTTTATTGTTAATGTTTTTGTAGCAATGGTATGTTGCAACCTCAAACATGACATATTTTCTACCTGAGTGTTACTGCATGAGAAAAACTCCTTTGATATGAGCATTTGTCATCCAATAATCATGTTAATTCACTCATGTGGTATGACACAATTGTTCCATAAAATTTGCATTCTGTAAATTCTATGAAATCTTTTCGTAATTTTATATGGAATGTCCAAACAATAAATGGGTTATAAAATGATACCAGAAGGGGGGAGGGATGTCTTTTTCCAACATTTTTTAAAAATTTCACCCCTGGAAGAAAAAGGCATAGACATAGGAAATGTTTAAGTGGCCTACATAAAAATAAAATGCATCCAGAGTACAATGTACCTTATTTTAAATGCCCCCCCCCCAAAAAAAAATTCAGAGAAAGGATAGATGCACAGTTAACATCAATTTGAAATCCGGGTTTCCAAAGTCAAGCCAAAAAGTGACGTTGCTCATTTGTGGCAGACAATGAACTTATGACAGGCAAATGAAACTCAAATAATCATGTGAGGATTTTTCCTGATGTATAATTATGCATTGAAATCAAAGGTGTGTTCAGCAGAGCGAGCACTCTTGGGTCCTATTGCTCGCAAAAAGTACTTGTCAACTGAACGGACACGAGCTAGCTCTGCTGAACACACCTTAGCTGTTTTCGTGACATTTGTTACATAAGTTACATAAACAAGTTGGATATAAGTATATTAACTCCAGGGAATTTTATCAAGATAAATGTACTGAGGCCAAGGGAGCGGACACTGAGAAACAATGACGTTGTAAGAGGTCATGAAACTTAACTGCCACAGCGCCGAATGATCATATAATGCCCTTTTTAATAAACAATAATTTGGCAAATTATCAATGAATCAAGTTAAAATTTTCAACTCTTCTTAAACTTTTGTTGTTTTATACAGTGTAGCAAAAGATGGTGGAACATTCTGAATGAATTTTGGCAATTTGTATTGATAAAATGCCTTTACAATTCAGCAATATGTTGATAAGTTACGTATATCCATTTTGAAAAAAATTCATATTATCTCATCAGCATTTATGTCACAATTAATCAAAATAATGCTAAGATTTCATTGACTTTCTCCCAAGGAATTAACATGCAGGATTTGATGTTTAAAATGATATATATGGTTTGTGTTAAAAATATGATAGGTAAGAAAAATATTTAGATTTAAAAATGTAACATATATTATAAAACACCCTGTATTAATTTAGATCAGTAATTATTGCCAAACAAATATACAGGTACATGTATGTATATCTACATTTCATTTGGATAAATGTAAATAACTGAATACCAAGTAATTTTTGAATTATAAATTATTTCTTGAATATTCTTTATTTGGAAAAAAATCTATTGTTCTTTAAATTATAATATTATTAATGTTAGTTGAAATACATATAAATGTATTACTTATGAATAATATATATTTCATGCAATTTTATTTAATATTTAATTCTATTTAATATTTTCTGTATGATTTTTATCAAACAGAAAGTAATAATAAGCAGCTAGACTACATATTGGAGTTTTTATTATTGGTAATTTGATATCGGCAGAGATCTGCAGTATGTTAATTTTTAGAGGAAGACTCAAGATATTCATACACTGTCACTGTGCTGAATTCAGATTTTCCCACATAAAGATTACTCTCATCATCCACACATAAACTTTTAATCAGGGCATTAGAAAATAGCCGTGGATGGAACAGTTGAGATAAAAACTGACCATCCTGATTCAGGACGAGAACATTGTCCATACAACTCACCAGTATGTGACCGAGGGCATCAGTACATATTTCTTCAAATTCGTACTCTATAAATCGCATCCCCTCACCTTTGTAAGAGAATCTGTGTTCTCCTGATTTATTCACCACGACTACTACACTTCTTTTACCGGTAGACTTACTACTATTGATTTCAGATGTACAGATATCTCCATTAATGTTTTCTGTAATGTAGATTGGATAATTTTTACAATTATATGGTCTCAGCCTCGTTTTATCTCTCTGACAGTGTAAGTTCTGTAGTTCTTTCCCTGACTTGTTGTACCTGGTGACTTTACCCTCTTTATCATCCTTCTTCATCCCCACCAGTAAGTCCCCATTAGTGCGAGAGGAGTGTATGCAGATTGGTTCCCAGTCTCCTGTTTTAATGAATTCAGTGATTTTGTTATCCAGTGTTATCCTACTGATGACTTTCTTGTGTCCTTCAGTGAATATCAGATCCCCTTCCTGTGTGACTGTGTGAAAACCATAACCATAACTACTGGCTTTTATCCTCAGAATTTCATTCCCCCGTCGATCTGTTTGTACTAGGTTACCAACTTTGTCACTGACCCAGAGTCTGCCTGACTGATCATCTAGTGAAATAATTATTCTGCATTAAAAACAGGTACTTCGAACTCTCTGAACTTTAATGGATAGGAAAATGTAATCAATTTTTTTTTCAGATCAGGTTTCTTTTTATTTTGTTTTGTCTGTTGTAATACAGTTTCCTTTATTGTTGAAGAATTCATTTTTTTATTCTTCTACCTTCTCTTTTAACCAAGGGAACATTTATTCTGCCAAGTAATTTTATGACTTCATTTTTGCTACATTGCTCTCTAATAAATACTGGTGTGACTGGTTTTGTTGTTTCTGGTATGGGTTGGGTTTTCATCCTTTCAGAAGTTAAGGAAATTAATTTCTGTGATTTTGTAGATGACAGGTGGCCATTGAACTTTTTGACAAGGTCTTCAAGATAAATGATGTAATCATTGAATGTCATTTCTTGGGATTTTAAATCTTTTTTCAAGGAGTTTTCTATTTGGTCTAGCTGCTTCATGTTCTCTGATTGCACTTCATCCACCAGACTTTTAAGGGACTCAGACGCATCAGATTTCATAGAGGTCCTTATTTTGTCTATGACCTTCATGATTTCTACGGCATCTTTTATTATTTCTTTCTTTAATTCTTGTACTGTAGGAAGAAAATATTCTTGAATTTTGGAGATTTCTTCTGTACATTGTGCAAATTTTCCTGCATAAATAGCCTCAAGATCAAGAAACATGTGTCCCCTGTGATCCCCTAGTGTTGTGCACTTGGAACATAATGGAACTTGGCATTCTTCACAGAGTAAGTCAATATCTTTATTTGTGTGAATTTTGCATTTTTCCAATGGAAGTTGTTGCTTACGTTGTTGATAAAGGACCAACTCATGGTTCCCATTTTCTGGACTCTTCAGATGTTCATTTCTGCATTGTTCACACAATTCCAGGTGGCAAGGGTTGCAATAATATTGGCAGTTCCTTTCACAGTCTCTAATTCCACACTCTAGAAAGTGCTGGGCTTTACCAGGTGTATTCATTTTGGATATTGCTATCTGAAATGTAAAAGGTTTTCGGTACAGATAAAACATGTGGGTAGAGCACAACAGCCCTTCATGTAAGTGCTGTGCACTGTCATTTGAAAACATTGTTTAATCATTTTTAAAGTTCATCTTCATATATTATATATATACATATATATATATATATATATATATATATATATATATATATATATATATATATATATATATATATATATATATATATATACATTTACGAATGTTTTAATTCTTTTATATAACACCATTTAAAGCAACCTGTATCTATATCTGTATAAACACTGGTTCCTTGCTTCATAAACGTTCGACTTAATTTCTCAGTGACGTCATAAAGGGTCGACGCGCAATCAATAGATCAAACTTGTGCCGTTGAGTTTGAAAAAATAAAACATTTCATGCGTTAAAGGTAATAATTAGGCTAATATATAATATGAATAAGTCACAAATGTAAATATAAGTAATAAGGTATCATTTTGAAACATCTATTGGGATATAAATACAGGTTGGTATGGGCTTCATGGAATTTGATCTCGTGACCAACCCGTATATAGATGTTTCAAAATGATACCTTATTTCTTAAATATATATATATATATATATATATATATATATATATATATATATTTGCAAATGTTTTGTTTTATATAACACTATTGAACGCAATGTGTATCTATATCCGTATAAACACGGGTTTCTCACGTCATAAACGTTCGACGTAATTTCTCAGTGGCGTCATAAAGGGTCGACACGCAATCAATGGATTAAACATGTGCCGTTGAGTTTGAAAAATAAAACATTTTAGACGTTAAAGATTATAATCAGGCAAATATGAAATATGAATAAGTCTTAAATGTAAATATAAGTAATAAGGTATCATTTTGAAACATCTATCTGATATAAATACGGGTTGGTACGAGATCAAATTTACCATAAAGCCCTTCGGGCTTTGTGGAATTTGATCTTGTGACCAACCCGTATTTATATCCTGATAGATGTTTTAAAATGATACCTTATTTCTTAAATATATATATATGATATTAAATGTATCCACAAAAAATTACTGTAAGGACATACCAACAACTGAATGGTAGCCGTTTTGACAAGAAAAGGGTTCAAAACCTCTCCTTGACTAGATATTTATCCATCAAACTGAGTTGATTTGAAGACTGAACTAGTATTCATAATTGACACATCTGCATGTGACACAACAGTAGACTTTGAATCATAAGTGAGTTATTTACTATTTACCTATTTTTAGGCTATTTACCTTGGTTGTAGAGTAGATTAAATTTCACAAGTAAAAATTTGATATATCTGTACTGATAATTTGATATAGCTGTGACCTAACATATTCATGAAATGTTTGACTGAATACCAGCAAGCATCTGTTTATATACATGTATATATATATATATATATATTTAAATGAAGAGTATGACTTTACAATTAGAGATTCATAAACTTAATTAGGGTGATCATTTACATCCAGTGTATTTAAATTTTGGACATTATTTTACATGAGAAAACAAAAAAAATAGATTTGAATTAAAAGTATTAATATACATGTAGTTTTAAAATATTGCAAGTTGAATTGGAAATGTGTGCCAATATATATAATTGCATTCTCACTGAAAAAATGCCAATTAACACACCTCTACAAATTCAAGACCTGCATGCACAAAGCAGTCTTCTTTTTCCCACAATTAAGGCAACTAAGTTAATGGTTTGGAGTAAATTTATGTCAGTAAAATGTGTAAATGTTACGGGTATTTTAAATTAAGTGACTGCTAGAAAACAAAACAAGATAGGAAAATTAATTTAATTTGAAGACAGAAAGCAAAGATGATGTATTTGATTATAATTTTAAAATCTGTACTCTTATTGATCATTACTGTTTAGATAAATTTTAATTGTACCTTTCATTAACCAGTACTTCAATTCAATCTTTAACTAATGCAGAATTCTCAGGCAAACTTTTACTGTCAGACTTGTATTTGTTTTGGATCTGTTTGCCTTATTTTATGGTCTGTTATTACTTTCATTTTTTATTTATCTATAGAATGATCAATCCATATTATCTAATCCACTTTAATGTAATTATTACAAGAGGCCCAGGGGCCACATCGCTCACCTGAGCACTATGGCTATGGAAAAGCAGAAATCACTTCAGTCTTGAAAGGTTGAAAAGTTTAAATATAAAAGTGGTTCGGGGAAGGGGGGGGGGGGGGGGGGGAGGTCATGAATTGAACAAATTTGAATCTACATTATCTGAGGATGCTTCCATTTAAATATGACCAATCATGGCTTTGCTGTTCTTGAGTAGAAAATTTTTAAAGATTTAACCTATGTATTCCTATGTAAAACTTTGATCACCCATTGTGGCCCCACCCGACCCCCAGGGGTCATGTTTGAACAAACTTGAATGTACACCATCTAAGAATGCTTCCATATAAATATGACCAATCATGGCTTTGCTGTTCTTAAGAAATAGTTTTTTTTTTTTTTTTTTTTTTAAAAAAAAAGATTAAAAAAAAAAAAGATTTTTACTATGTGTTCCTATGTAAAACTTTGATCGCCCATTGTGGCCCCACCCGACCCCGGGGGTCATGATTTGAACAAATTTGAATACACACTATCTGAGGATGCTTCCATGTAAATATGACCAATCAAGGCTTTGCTGTTCTTGAGAAGAAGATTTTTAAAGATTTTTCCTATATATTCCCATGTAAAACTTTGATCGCCCATTGTGGCCCCACCCTACCCCCGGGGGTTATGATTTGAACAAACTTGAATCTACACTATCTGAGGGTGCTACCATATAAATATGACCAATCATGGCTTTGCTCTTCTTGAGAAGAAGATTTTTAAAGATTTTTCCTATATATTTCCTATGTAAAACTTTGATCGCACATTGTGGCCCCACCCGACCCCCGGGGGTCATGAGTTGAACAAATTTGAATGTACACTGTCTGAGGATGCTTCCATGTAAATATGACCAATCATGGCTTTGCTCTTCTTGAGAAGAAGATTTTTAAAGATTTTTCCTATATATTCCTATGTAAAACTATGATCGCCCATTGTGGCCCCACCCAACCCCCGGGGGTCATGATTTGAACAAACTTGAATCTACACTATCTGAAGGTGCTACCATATAAATATGACCATTCATGGCTTTGCTGTTCTTGAGAAGAAGACTTTTGAAGATTTTTCCAAAATATTCCTATGTAAAACTTTGATCGCCCATTGTGGCCCCACCCGACCCCCGGGGGTCATGATTTGAACAAACTTGAATCTACACTATCTGAGGATGCTACCATATAAATATGACCAATCATGGCTTTGCTCTTCTTGAGAAGAAGATTTTTAAAGATTTTTCCTATATATTTCCTATGTAAAACTTTGATCGCGCATTGTGGCCCCACCCGACCCCTGGGGGTCATGATTTGAACAAACTTGAATCTACACTACCTGAGGATGCTTCCATATAAGTTTCATATTTCCAAGCACAGTGGTTCTTGAGAAGAAGATTTTTTAATGATGCCATTAATTTTTCACGAATTCTTAATTATCTCCCCTTGGAAGAAAGCGTGGCCCTTCATTTGAACAAACTTGAATCCCCTTTACCCAAGGATACTTTGTGGCAAGTTTGGTTGAAATTGGCCCAGTGGTTCTGGAGAAGAAGTCGAAAATGTGAAAAGTTTACAGACGGACAGACGGACTACAGACAAAATGTGATCAGAAAAGCTGAAGAGCTAAAAAGTGCTTAAATTGTAGTTTATTGTTATTGTAGTTTATTGTTAAAACTGAATCAGATATTCCTTTCAGGTATTTTAAAATCATACACAATTATAAAAAAAAAAAAAACAAGAGGCCCAAGGGCCTTAACGATCACCTGAGTAATATACAACATTGTAAAGGATCACCGATAGATCAAGCTATGTTGCTCAAAAGCAAGAAAAATAGGATGATCAGTGATCAACAAAATAATTAGTCTAGCACTCGGTAACAGTCTGACTGTAGAGCTATTTTCTTGCCTTTACTTGCCCTCATTTGTCTCTATCACCATTCTGACTAATTAAAACAATAATGCACTAGCACTATTGGAAAACCAATCTCATTCCCTCTCACATTAGCCAATCTTGCTTTTGAATGTACAAAGAAAAGATATTTTTGTATTTTATTTATCTATTATTCACAACTCTAACTGACCATTAACAAGAGGCCTATGGGCCACCACACTCATCTGAGTAACTTTGGCCCTTTTGTTCTTTACCTGATTTCCCCCTTGTAATACCTATTGTGGCCCGGCCCTTCCCCCAGGGGCCATGATTTGATTAATTTAGAATCTACACTACCCCAGGATGCTTCCACTTCAGTTTCAGCTTTTCTGGCCCAGTGGTTCTTGAAAAGATTTTTAAAGATGTTTCCTATTTATTTTAATGTAAAACTAAAATTCCCTAATGTGGTCCCACCCTACCCCCAGGGGTCATGATTTGTACAATTTAGAATCTACACTACCCCCAGGATGCTTCCACATGCATTTCAGCTTTTCTGGTCCAGTGGTTCTTGAGAAGAAGATATTTAAAGATTTCCTATATATCTAAATGCGCGTGTAAAAATTGGATTCCGTATTGTAGCCCCACCCTACCCCCGGGGGTCATGTTAGAATCTACACTACCCAAGGATGCTTCCACATAAGTTTCAGCTTTTATGGCCCAGTGGTTCTTGAGAAGAAGACTTTTCCTATATATTTCAATGTAAAACTTAAATTCCCTATTGTGGCCCCACCCTAATCCCGGGGGTTATGATTTTAAATATTTAGAATTTTCACTACTTCAGGATGCTTCAACATAAGTTTCAGCTTTTCTGGCTAAGTGGTTCTTGAGAAGATTTTTCCTATATATTTAGATGTAAAGCTTGGATCCCCTATTGTGGCCCTGCCCTACCCCCGGAGGTTATGATTTGAAAAAATTATAGTA